GTGGGGATGAGGATGGTGCAGGGATGAAGGAGAGGGCTGTGTGTAAGGTGAGGAGGGACAGGGACACTGTCACCTGTCCCTGTGTGGGGAATTGTCCCCTGATTTTGCCCGAGGCAGGAGGAGCAGGCAGTGCAGGGAAACCAGGGCTGTCATCAGTGCCCAGCTTCTGCCGTGATTTGGTGATCAGGGCTTGACTTCTGGATGGATTTTCAGTCTCCTGTGCTCCAGGGAGATGGATCTCTGTTCCAATGCCCAGCACAGATCGATCCTATCTCCTGGATACTGAGGGCTTTGCAGAATTGTCAAAAAGTCTTTCCTAAGGAATTAAAAGTGCACCCAGGCATGGAGCAGAGGAGCTAAACCTCCCAAAGCTGCAGGCTGGGAACAGATTTGCTTTAGACTAACGGGCTGAAGCCTGGCCTCTCCAGTGCACACCCAGACTGTGTTCCCAGGCGTTTATTAACAGGAGCCAGGCTGTAGATTGATGGAATTCAGGGAGCACTGGCCCTGCTGCCCCCAGCACCCCTCTGCAGGGCTGGGTGCTGCTGAGCCACGTGCTGAGGCCAGCCCTGATGTCCCTCTCATTTGCAGATTGTCACTGTGTCCCCAGCTGCCACAAACCCTATTTTCCCAGCTGGATTTGAAGCTCAGCACGAGTTTGTGTCTGGTGCCCAGGGCCCAGGTTTGGCTGGAGGTTATTGACAGCACAAGCTCAGCCCTTCTCCCTTTTCTGTCTCCCTCTGTGGCTTCCCTGCTCCCTCCTGCACTGCTAGAGTTGCTGTGCTTTGCCCCAGAAAGCTGTGCTGGTTTAATCTTTGTTTTCCAGCAGCTGTCCCTGTCTCTGTCCCTGTCCCTCCCCCTCACACATGTCAGGGCACACATGTGCACACGTGTGTGCAGGCAGAGCTCTGGACACAGGCAGGGAAACCTATGGATTCGAACACATGTGCATATGTTTTCCTTCCCAGATATATTTTGGAAAATATGAGTCAGCAGCAGCAGCAGCAGCAGCAGCAGCAGCAGGCAAGAACATATTACATAATCTCTGGGAGCCAAGAAAACCTTGCAGTTTTATTAGGAGGGAGGCTTTCTGCAAGCAGCAGCTTTTAGCATCATTTTGGGGCCACACCTTGAGCCCCTCAGTCAGTGGCCTCATTTCCATCCTATCCTCTTGTGCCCAATGCAGGGAAGCAGTCCCAGCAGCCTTGGGTTTTGTTATATTTTTAAACCCCCAGAACTGGTAGAATCTCAGTGCTGTGCTGTTGGTAACGACTTCTCTCTTGTTCCTTAACATGTTCTCCTGCACGGAGTCTGTGATTTTTCCTTTTTGGTTCCCCCCACTCCCCACCTCCTGCTGTTTTCTCTCAGATCTCAGCACTGAGAGAAATGGCACATGAGTGCAGCTGGAAATAGCTGCTGCCCCCTCCACCTCCCCTCTGCTCACGGCCACCCACCTCCTCCACCTACTCCCAAATGGGAGAGTGAAGTCAACATCCACTTTTAGCCCCAGGCTGCTGCTCCTCGGCTCTCCCCCTCTCCCTCGCCGTGCCTGCCCTGCCCACACAGGATTCAGAAGGGCTTCAGCACCATCTGAAGGCTCCTGCAGCTGGATGAGTCCTGTTGGCACTCGGGAGATCTGTGCTGGAGCATCAGGGATGAGAGGGGATGGTCAGAGAGGGGGGAACAGCAGGAATTATGGACAGGCAGGGGAGCACAAACAAAAATCCAAGGGAGTCACACAGCAGGAATGAATGGCAGGGGTTTGAATCCTCTGGGTTTGAATCCTCCATCCTGGGCTCATCCATGTGAGCCCTGGCACGGGCAGGGATGGCAGCAGTGGGCACAGAGCCCTGCCCAGCGGGTGGGTGCTCTCAGCTCTCCACGGTGCTGCCTCTCTGCTCCTCCATCTCTGTTCCAGCCTGTATTCCTGCAGGATGCCTGGAAAGCCTAGGAGGGGGAATGGGCATTAGCAGAGTGCAAGGCAAGGAAGGAAAGGCCTTGTTTGTTTTTAATTTGCTGATAAAAGGGAAAGGTTTTGAGCCACTTTGATCTCTCAGGGCAGTGCAAACGCTTTCGCTGTGGCTGAGCCTGTGGGTGCCTTTCAGGCAAAGAGGAAGCTCGGTTGTGGTTTTCCAGTATCAAAGCCTTCCCAAGGAGGCAGTGAATTGCCAGGCTGGCTGAGAGCAGGAGTGCAGGCAGCTCCAGGCCCTGTCTGGGACAGTCTGAGCTGCTGGCTGCAGAGCAGCCTGAGAGAGGCACAAGAATTGATGGTGACAGAATAACCTGTTTATCCAGAGCACTCTTGTCTTCACCCCCCGTTAGCTCTCGACTTTCTGGTGTTTGGAGACAGGAGAATTTAAATCTTCTGTATTTTTAAAGCCACAAAAGTCTCCGTTGCAACGAGAAATTCTAATGAGCTCAGCAGAGGGGATGGGCTTTTCTGCCCACCATCCATCAGGGCTTTCTGTATTTTATTGTATATTATTTATAGTGTTTGCCCAGTGTTTGGAGCAGTTGGGGAATGATGGGGCTGGGATTTGGGGGAGCTGCCCCCCATTCCCCACCTCTCGTAGCCAGGGTGACGCTGCAGGGGCTGTTTCATCTTTCGACATTTTTGTTTCTCTTTCTGTAAAATACACAGAAGGAAATTGCCCTTTCCTCTTCAAGGGTTTGGCAAGTGAGGATGAGAAGTGCTGTACTGGAGGCAGGTGGGATTGGAGCAGATGGATGAAAAATGCCTCTCACCCTGTGGGGCTCTGCGGGGGCCCCTGGCAGAGCAGAGCTGCCACCCAGGAGCTCCCTGCTTTCATTTAAAGCAACATCTTCAATTCCACCCGAGATCCCAACAGTGATGTCAGCAGGGCTCCACCGAAGATTCATTTTGCCTCAAATATTTTGCATATGCAGCGTCAGAGCTCAGCCTTCTGTTTTTGCAGCTAGAGAAGAGCTCTGCACCTTGTTAGAGCCTTCACTAATAATACACTTGCTCTCTGTTATTAATTCATCTAAATGAGGCTTTTTTGTTTCTCTAAGCCTTTTGTGGTATTTCTGTGCTGTCGAGAAATTAATCTGCATTAAGTAGAAATACCTCAGTAAAACCAGGAGCTTTGGAGTAGCTGTTCAGCCTCTTGTGGTGCAATCTGGGGCAGAGCCACTCGGGGTATCCACAATTCCCACCCCAAAGCCAGCAGGAAGAGCCAGGAGAGGCTCGTGGTGCACAAAGGGATGGCACAAAAGCCCCCCAGGGCAGCCCAGCCACGCTCTGGATGCTGGCATGGTCTGGAAGTGCTGTCTCTGTCTGAGTGACAGAAACTCACATCTTAATTCCCAAATCTTTCCTTTGCAAGCTTCTGTGTTTGGCCATCCTCTCCCCTGCAGGAGGATTGTTCCCCCCTGTTCTGTCAGGACAGGCTGCACATGTCTGTATTGGGTTTCTCAGCTGGCCAGGGGAGATTTCTGCTCCTCCTTTGAGGTCTCCCAGAGCTGGAAACATCTCCCCATCACTGCAGTGAGTTTTGCTGCCCTTTTTGCCTCTCTGTTTTTCCTGCAGACAGTTTCACCTCTGCGGGGTTTTTCCAACTCAGGTTGAAATTCAAGCGATAATAATACTTGACATTCTTCATTCTGGCATCTTAAAAAATCTTTTCTGAAGTTTTAAAGCCTTTAAAGCTTTTGTGCTGTATAAATACTTGAGTACTTCTTCTATTTTTAAATGAAAATGGTGCCTCAAAACCCTCAAAAGTCAAATGAAGATCAAAGGCTTGGGAATACCAGCAGTTTTCTCTATTATTCACAGCAGCTCCAGACTGAGGTTGTGTTGGCCAAGTGCGAAGGGACTGCTGCGCTCATAATGATGCAATCATGGAATTATGGGATGGTTTGGGTTGGAAGAGACCCTAAAGCTCATCCCATTCCACCCTGGCCATGGGCAGGGACATCTCCCACTGTCCCATGTTGCTCCAAGCCTCATCCAGGGGGCATTTCCAGGGTTTCTCTGGGCCCCTCTGGCCATCCCCACCCTCACAGGGAAAGATTTAGGATTTCTTTCCCAGTATCCCCTCCAAACCTGCTCTCTCTCATTGCTCTTAGTTAATCTTCCCCAGCTACTCTGTAAAACTCAGCCTTGGTGTCTGACATTGCTGCTGCTGGCTGGGTGGAAACCCCATTTTTTATCATCTTGTTTTCACATCCATCCCAGTGCAGGAATGGCCAGCAAAGGGCTGGAGCAGGGATAGAGGCAGCCCTGCCCTTTTCAGGGGGAGCTGGCCTGGCTTTACAAGGTTTTCAGCAAAGTAAATCTTTTTTTCCTGCAGCCCAGCCTTCCTCAGCGTTTTTCCTCCCTCCCTCCCTGTGGCTTGTGAGCAGGAATCAGGACAATAGATGGAAATTGATGTCCTGGAGGCGTGTGACAAGGGGATCCTGAGGGCTCAGGGCAGCTCACAAAAGAATTGCCTCTGATAAATGCTCAGAGGTTTCTGTGGGTTTGCTCAGCAGCTGCAGTCAGGGCTCACAGTGGGGATTTTTTACCACTGCCCAGGGAATTGTTCCAGGACTGTGTGAGCCACCACCAGCAGCATCCTTGCTGGAATAAAAGGTAAAAATGGATGCAGAGCAATTTGGCCAGAAGAAGAGTGGAGAGGAAAAAAAAAAAAAAAAGATCCAAGGAGTGGCTGTTGAAACTCAAAAGGATCTAGAAAGCAAAGATGCAAAAATAAAATCTGAAGCGGAAATGAGTGATGTTTTTCCAGCATTGTGTAACTCATTTTAATTGCAATCCATCTAGAAATCTATTTGAGGCAAGAAATCAATGCAGAATTGTAGACTGAAGCATTGGCTTTCCAGATGTTTGCAGCTTTCTGGATTGTTATTTTCAGCTTCTTCCCCCAGTTTTTTTTTGAGTCCCTCCCTCCTCGCAGTGGTCAGGGAGAGATGTCCCCTGATGTGTGGCAGGGGGGCAGTGAGGGCTGTCCTGGGGCTTTCTAAATTTGCCTCTTGTTCTGTCTTGAGGAGCACCCTGGAGTGGTTTTGGTGGTGGGAATGGGGTGTTGCAATGTGGAAGCCCCGGGGTTTCTGTAGGATCACCCCACATCTCCCAGGACAGGCTGTTGTCCCCTCACAGGGAGTTTTCTCTGGGCAGGAAGGTTTTCTCTGGCAGGTTCCTGTCACTGAACAGATTCCCAGCTTAGGACACTGGTGGGAGTCCATCAATGCTCTTGGTAATTCTGCAGAATTAAGTCCCGACTCTCACAGATGCCATTCCATGCCTCTTGAAAGGCCAGCATGTCATTTCTCTTGGATTTGGTGGCATTGGTGAGGGAGGTTTTACCTTGTTCCTGGTCCATCCTCAGCGTTCAGGGCTGCTGGGGGTGCCTTGCTTTGAGTCCAGCTGTGTGGAGACTGAGCAGGGCAGAGCTGGGGCTGCAGGAGGGTCCCTGAGCTCCTGCAGGGAGGGAGGCTGTGCTGCCATGGCCTTGGGATGTCCCTTTGCTCTGCTCCTGCCTCTTATCCTGCCTGGAGATGGACTCAGCAGTGAGGCAAGGACAGAATTCCCCTTTGAGGCTCCTCAAAGATCCTACAGCAGCTTCTGAGACAGCAGTCCAAGGAAACAGCTCAGCTTCCTGCCAGCCAGGAGCTCACATTCCCAACAGAATGACCCAAAAGCAGCAAAGATATTCCAGGTATGGAACATGTCCCTCCTGGTGTCCAAGCATGTCCCTTCACTGTGTCACACTCAGGCTGGCACTGCAGGGTGTTCAGTGTGTTTGTGTTTAGAATTCTGGCTTGGAGCAGCAGAGAGAAATGGGAACAGAGTTTGCAGCAGGTTAGGGTGAGTTGGGATGGATCTGGTGGGATTACATGCAAAGGAACTGTGCTCAGTGTGGGAAAGGGAAAATTCAGGCTTTTCCAAATCCAGAGAGTGCAGCTGGAGAGGGGGAAGGATGCAATGCAGGAGGTACAACTAAGAATAGAGGAGTGTGTTATAAAGGGAAATCTGGGGCTGGAGGTCAGGACAAATTAGAACATGCAGAAAATGTACTGCACTAGGCCATGGGTTTGTATTTCTGGAAAATAACTGAAGTATCTTCACGTGGGGCAGTTCTCATGGGATTAGAGAAAATACCAGAACAGGTTCTCAAAGGAACAGTCTTCCTTTGGCTGGTGAGCAGAGCAGAGGATTCAAATCTGGTTTTTGGAGCCCAGGTTTGGGCCCAAATTGTGAGAGGCATGGCTTTTCCTGCAGGCACCTCTGGGCAGCACCAGCAGGATGTGCCAAAGCAGAGTTTGTTCTGATGGTAACTGCAGAGAGAGGCAGCAAACGTCCCCAGGACAGATGGAGTCAGGGGTAGAAGGGTTCTGGAAATGGGCCATGGGGGAGGCTGGAGCAGGGGAAGGTGGAGATTTATGGTTATTACCTGGAGTGGATCCAAGACTTTAGAGATGGGAGGATTTGCCAGTTTGGCTTTGCTGGAAAGCTGGGCAGTGGAGCCATCCATCATCTATCCATGATCCAT